ACAGTTGCCACAGTTGTCCCGGTTGTCACTGTTGTCACAGGCGTCACCTTTGTGACTCTTTTCATGGTTGTCACTGTTGTCACGAATGTCACAGTTGTCACTGTTGTCACCGTTTTCACTGTTGTCATAGTTGTTACTGTTGTCATGGTGGTCACTGTTGCCACAGTTGTCACTTTTGTCACGGTTGTCACTGTTGTCACTGGTGTCACCGTTGTCACTGTTATCACTGTTGTCACGATTGTCACAGTTGTCACGGTTCTTACTGTTGCAACAGTTGTCACGGTTATCACTGTTTTCACAAGTGTCACCGTTGTCACTGTTGTCATGGTTGTCACTGTTATCACAGTTATCACTGTTGTGGCAGGTGTCAGCATTGTCACTTTTGTCATGGTTGTCACTGTTTTCACGGTTGTCACTGTTGTCACGGTTCTTACTGTTGCCACAGTTCTTACAGTCGTCACTGTTGTCACTGGTGTCACCGTTGTCACTGTTCTCATGGTTGTCACAGTTCTCACTGTTGTCACGATTGTCACAGTTGTCACCGTTGTCACTGTTGTCATGGTTGTCACTGTTGTCACGGTTGTCACTGTTGTCACAGTTGTCACGGTTGTCACAGTTGTCACTGTTGTCACTATTGTCACTGTTGTTATTTTTGTCACTGTTATCACAGTTGTCACTGTTGTCACAGTTGTCACTGTTGCCACCGTTGTCACCGTTCTTACTGTTGTCATGGTTCTCACTGTTATCACAGTTGTCACTTTTGTCACAATTGTCACCGTTGTCAGTGTTGTCATGGTTGCCACTGTTGTCACGGTTGTCACCGGTGTCACCTTTGTCACTCTTGTCATGGTTCTATCTGTTGTCACGGTTGTCACAGTTGTTACTGTTGTCACAGGTGTCACCGTTGTCACTGTTGTCATGGTTGTTACTTTTATCACAGTTGTCACTGTTGTCACTGTTGTCACCGTTGTCATCGTTGTTGCTGTTATGGTTCTCACTGTTATCACAGTTGTCACTTTTCTCACAGTTGTCACCGTTGTCACCATTGTCAATGTTGTGATGGTTACCACTTTTGTCACACGTGTCACTGTTGTCACAGTTGTCACTGTTGTCACGATTTTCACAGTTGTTACTGTTGTGACAGGTGTCACCGTTGTCACTGCTGTCATGGTTGTCACTGTTGTCACTCTTGTCGCAGTTGTCACTGTTGTCACAGTTCTTACTGTTGCCACAGTTGTCCCGGTTGTCACTGTTTTCACAGGTGTCACTGTACTCACTGTTGTCATGGTTGTCAGTGTTGTCACAGTTGTCACTGTTGTCACGATTCTCACATTTTTCACTGTTGTCACTGTTGTCATAGTTGTTACTGTTGTCACAGTGGTCACTGTTGTCACAGTTCTCACGGTTGTCACAGTTGTCACCATTGTCAATGTTGTCATGGTTGCCACTGTTTTTACGGTTTTCACTGTTCTCACAGTTGTCACTGATGTGACAGGTGTCACCGTTGTCACTTTTGTCATGGTTGTTACTGTTGTCACGGTTGTCACCGTTGTCACAGTTGTCACTGTTGTTATGGTTCTTACTGTTGCCACAGTTGTTACGGTTGTCACTGTTGTCACAGGTGTCACCGTTGTCACTGTTGTCATGGTTGTCACTGTTATCACAGTTGTCATTTTTGTCACAGTTGTCACCATTGTCAATGTTGTCATGGTTGCCACTGTTGTCACGCTTGTCACTGTTTTCACAGTTCTCACTGTTTTCACGGTTGTCACTGTTGTGACAGGTGTCACCGTTGTTACTGTTTTCATGGTTGTCACTGTTGTCACGGTTGTGACCATTGTCACTGTTGTCACTGATGTCATGGTTGTCAGTATTGTCACCGTTGTCACTTTTGCCATGTTTGTCCCTGTTTTCACGGTTGTCACTGTTGTCACCGTTGTGACTTTTGCCACAGTTGTCACGGTTGTCACTGTTGTCACAGGTGTCACTGTTGTCATGGTTGTCACTGTTGTTACAGATGTCACTGTTGTCACAGTTTTCACCGTTGTCACTGTCGTTACTCTTGTTGCTTTTCTCACTGTTGTCACAATTTACACTGTTCTCATGGTTGTCACTTTTGGCTCGGTCGTCACCGTTGTCACAGTTGTGACTGTTGTCATGGTTCTCACTGTTGTTACAATTCTCACAGTTGACACTGATGTCATGGTTGTCACCCTTTTCAATGTCGTCACTGTTTTAACCGTTATAGTTGTTTTCATGGGTGTCACGGTTCTTACTGTTGTCATGTTTGTTGTTGTTGTCACAGTTGTCACTGTTGTCATGGATCTCACTATTATCACAGTTGTCACTTTTTTCACAGTTGTCACCGTTTTCACCGTGGTCAATGTTGTCATAGTTGCCACTGTTGTCACGGTTGTCACTGTTTTCATAGTTGTCACTGTTCTCACGGCTGTCAAAGTTGTCACTGTTGTGACAGATATCACCGTTGTCACTGTTGTCATAGTTGTCACTGTGTTCACAGTTGTCACTGTTGTCACAGTTGTCACTTTTGTTACGGTTCTTACTGTTGCCACAGTTGTCACGGTTGTCACTGTTGTCACAGGTGTCACTGTTGTCACTGTTGTCATGGTTGTCACTGTCATCACAGTTGTCACTTTTGTCACAGTTTTAACCGTTGTCAATGTTGTCATGGTTGCCACTGTTGTCACGGTTGTTACTGTTTTCACAGTTGTCACTGTTGTCACGGTTCTCACAGTTGTCACTGTTGTGACAGGTGTCACCGTTGTCACTGTTGTCATGGTTGAAGTTCTTGTCACGGTTGTCACTGTTGTCACAGTTGTCACTGTTGTCTCGGTTCTTACTGTTGTCACGGTTGTCACTGTTGTCACAGGTGTCACCGTTGTCACTGTTGTTTTGGTTTTCAGTGTTGTCACAGTTCTCACTGTTGTCACGATTGTCACTGTTGTCACGATTGTCACTTTTGTCACCGTTGTCACAGTTGTCACTGTTGTCACGGTTCTTACTGTTGCCACAGTTGTCATGGTTTTCACTGTTGTTACTGTTTTCACAGTTGTCACTGTTGTCACGATTCTCACATTTTTCACCGTTGTCACTGTTGTCATAGTTGTTACTGTTGTCACGGTGGTCACTGTTGTCACAGTTCTCACGGTTGTCACAGTTGTCACTATTATCAATGTTGTCATGGTTGCCACTGTTGTCACGGTTTTCACTGTTTTCACAGTTGTCACTGTTGTCACGGTTGTCACAGTTGTCACTGTTGTGACAGGTGTCACCGTTGTCACTTTTGTCATGGTTGTTACTGTTGTCACGGTTGTCACTGTTGTCACAGTTGTCACTGTTGTTATGGTTCTTACTGTTGCCACAGTTGTTACGGTTGTCACTGTTGTCACAGGTGTCACCGTTGTCACTGTTGTCATGGTTGTCACTGTTATCACAGTTGTCATTTTTGTCACAGTTGTCACCGTTGTCAATGTTGTCATGGTTGCCACTGCTGTCACGCTTGTCACTCTTTTCACAGTTCTCACTGTTTTCACGGTTGTCACTGTTGTGACAGGTGTCACCGTTGTTACTCTTTTCATGGTTGTCACTGTTGTCACGGTTGTGACCGTTGTCACTGTTGTCATTGATGTCATGGTTGTCAGTATTGTCACCGTTGTCTCTGTTGTCACAGTTTTCACTGTTGTCACTGTTGCCATGTTTGTCCCTGTTTTCACGGTTGTCACCGTTGTCACCGTTGTGACTTTTGCCACAGTTGTCACGGTTGTTACTGTTGTCACAGGTGTCACTGTTGTCACTGTTGTCATGGTTGTCACTGTTGTCACTGTTTTCACAGTTGTCACCGTTGTCACTGTTGTTCCTCTTGTTGCTTTTCTCACTGTTGTCACAGTTTACACTGTTCTCATGGTTGTCACTTTTGGCTCGGTCGTCACCGTTGTCACAGTTGTGACTGTTGTCACNTCACTGTTGTTATGGTTCTTACTGTTGCCACAGTTGTTACGGTTGTCACTGTTGTCACAGGTGTCACCGTTGTCACTGTTGTCATGGTTGTCACTGTTATCACAGTTGTCATTTTTGTCACAGTTGTCACCGTTGTCAATGTTGTCATGGTTGCCACTGCTGTCACGCTTGTCACTCTTTTCACAGTTCTCACTGTTTTCACGGTTGTCACTGTTGTGACAGGTGTCACCGTTGTTACTCTTTTCATGGTTGTCACTGTTGTCACGGTTGTGACCGTTGTCACTGTTGTCATTGATGTCATGGTTGTCAGTATTGTCACCGTTGTCTCTGTTGTCACAGTTTTCACTGTTGTCACTGTTGCCATGTTTGTCCCTGTTTTCACGGTTGTCACCGTTGTCACCGTTGTGACTTTTGCCACAGTTGTCACGGTTGTTACTGTTGTCACAGGTGTCACTGTTGTCACTGTTGTCATGGTTGTCACTGTTGTCACTGTTTTCACAGTTGTCACCGTTGTCACTGTTGTTCCTCTTGTTGCTTTTCTCACTGTTGTCACAGTTTACACTGTTCTCATGGTTGTCACTTTTGGCTCGGTCGTCACCGTTGTCACAGTTGTGACTGTTGTCACGGTTCTCACTGTTGTTACAATTCTCACAGTTGACACTGATGTCATGGTTGTCACCCTTGTCAATGTCGTCTCTGTTTTAACCGTTATAGTTGTTTTCATGGCTGTCACGGTTCTCACTGTTGTCATGTTTGTTGTTGTTGTCACAGTTGTCACTGTTGTCATGGATCTCACTATTATCACAGTTTTCTCTTTTTTCACAAATGTCACCGTTTTCACCGTGGTCAATGTTGTCATAGTTGCCACTGTTGTCACGGTTGTCACTGTTTTCATAGTTGTAACTGTTGTTACGGCTGTCAAAGTTGTTACTGTTGTGACAGGTGTCACCGTTGTCACTGTTGTGATCGTTGTCACTCTGTTCACAGTTGTCACTTTTGTTACGGTTCTTACTTTTGCCACAGTTGTCACGGTTGTCACTGTTGTCACAGGTGTCACCGTTGTCACTGTTGTCATGGTTGTCACTGTCATCACAGTAGTCACTTTTTTCACCGTTTTAACCGTTGTCAATGTTGTCATGGTTGCCACTGTTGTCACAGTTGTCACTGTTTTCACAGTTGTCACTGTTCTCACGGTTGTCACAGTTGTCACTGTTGTGACAGGTGTCACCGTTGTCACTGTTGTCATGGTTGTCACTCTTGTCACGGTTGTCACTGTTGTCACAGTTGTCACTGTTCTCACGGTTCTTACTGTTGTCACGGTTGTCACTATTGTCACAGGTGTCACCGTTGTCACTGTTGTTTTGGTTTTCAGTGTTGTCACAGTTGTCACTGTTGTCACGATTGTCACTGTTGTCACCGTTCTCACCGTTGTCACTGTTGTCATGGTTGTCACTGTTTTCACGGTTGTCACCGTTGTCACAGTTGTCACTGTTGTCACGCTTGTCACAGTTGTCACTATTGTCACAGGTGTCACCATTGTTACTGTTGTCATGGTTGTCACTGTTGTCGCAGTTGTCATTGTTGTCACAGTTGTCACTGTTGTCACGGTTCTTACTGTTGCCACAGTTGTCACAGTTGTCACTGTTGTCACAGGTGTCACGGTTGTCACTGTTGTTATGGTTGTCACTGTTGTCACTGTTGTCACCGTTGTCACCGTTGTCACTGTTGTCTTGGTTGTTCCTGTTGTCACAGGTATTACTGTTGTCACTGTTATCATACTTGTCACTTTTGTCACGGTTCTCTGTGTTGTCACTGTTGTCACCGTTTTTACTTTTGTAACTATTGTCACAGGTGTCACTGTTGTCGCACTTGTCACAGTTGTTACCGTTGTCACTGTTGTCACTGATGTCATGGTTGTCACGGTTTTCACAGTTCTCGCTGTTGTCACAGTTTTCATTGTTGTCTTTGTTGCCATGTTTGTCACTGTTGTCACGGTTGTCACTGTTCTCGCGGTTTTTACTGTTGTCACAGGTGTCACCGTTATCACTGTTGTTATAGTTTTCACTGTTGTCATGGTTGTCACTTTTGGCTCGGTCGTTACCGTTGTCACAGTTGTCACAGTTGTGATTGTTGTCACGGTTCTCACTGTTGTCACAGTTCTCACAGTTGACACTAATGTCATGGTTGTCACCCTTGTCAATGTCGTCACTGTTTTAACTGCTATCGTTGTTGTCATGGTTGTCACCATTGTCACTGTTGTCATGTTTGTCACTGTTGTCACAGTTCTCACTGTTGTTACGGTTGTCACTGTTGTCACTGTTCTTACTGATGTGACAGGTGTCACTTTTGTTACTATTATCAGTGTTGTCACCGTTGTCACAGTTATTGTTGTCTCTGTTATCATACTTGTCACTTTTGTCACGGTTCTTTGTGTTGTTACTCTTGCCACCGTTTTCACTGTTGTTACAGTTGTCACTGTTGTCGCACTTTTCACAGTTGTCACCGTTGTCACTGTTGTCACTGATGTCATGGTTGTCATTGTTGTTACTGTTGTCACGGTTCTTACTGTTGCCACAGTTGTCACGGTTGTCATTAGTGAACTTACGTAACAGGACGGGAGAGGAAAGAAGACGGCAAACCTTGTGTGACAACCGTGACAACAATTTTGTTTGAAATAACTTTTCGCCAAACATCACGTTCTTTTAAACAGATCTTTTTGTAAAAAAAAGAAAACATTAATGCTAACTGAAGATCACTACATAACATGCAAGTAATAACCCTTTCACGTTTGTCACACACAAACATTTTGCCGTCCTCTTCTTCCTGCCGTCCTGTTGCGTAAGCTCACTATTGTTGTCACAGGTCTCACCGTTGTCATTGCTGTCATGATTTTCACTGTTGTCACAGTTGTCATCGTTGTCATGGTTGTTACAGTTTTCACTGTTGTCACCGTTGTTACTGTTGTCATGGTTCTCACTGTTATCACAGTTGTCACTTTTGTCACAGTTGTCACCGTTGTCAATGTTGTCATGGTTGTCACTGTTGTCACGGTTGTCACTGTTATCACAGGAGTCACCGTTGTCACTGTTGTCATGGTTCTCACTGTTATCACAGTTGTTACTTTTGTCACTGTTCTGACAGGTGTCACCGTTGTCACTGTTGTCATGGTTGTCACTGTTGTCACGGTTGTCACTATAGTCACAGTTGTCACTGTTGTCACGGTTCTTACTGTTGTCACGGTTGTCACTGTTGTCACAGGTGTCACCGTTGTCAATGTTGTCATGGTTGCCACTGTTGTCACAGTTGTCACTGTTGTCACAGTTGTCACAGTTGTCACTGTTGTGACAGGTGTCACCGTTGTCATGGTTGTCACTGTTGTGACCGTTCTCACTGTTTTTACTGTTGCTACAGTTGTCACGGTTGTCACTGTTGTCACAGGTGTCACCGTTGTCACTGTTGTAATGGTTTTCAGTGTTGTCACAGTTGTCTCTTGTCACGATTGTCACAGTTGTCACTGTTGTCACCATTGTCACTGTTGTCATAGTTGTTACTGCTGTCACGGTGGTCACCGTTGTGACAGTTGTCACTGTTGTCACGGTTGTCACAGTTGTCACTGTTGTAACAGGTGTCACCGTTGTCACTGTTGTCATGGTTGTCACTGTTTTCACAGTTGTCACTGTTGTCACGGTTTTTACAGTTGTCACTGTTGTGACAGGTGTCACCGTTGTCACTTTTGTCATGGTTGTCACTCTTGTCACAGTTGTCACTGTTTTCACGGTTCTTACTGTTGCCAAAGTTATTACGGTTGTCACTATTGTCACAGGTGTCACCGTTGTCGTGGTTGTCACTGTTATCACAGCTGTCGCTTTTGTCACAGTTGTCACCGTGGTCAATGTTCTAATGGTTGCCGCTGTTGTCACGGTTGTCACTGTTTTCACAGTTGTCACTGTTTTCACGGTTATCACAGTTGTCACTGTCGTGACAGGTGTCGCCGTTGTCACTGTGTTCATGGTTGTCACTGTTGTCACAGTTTTCACTGTTGTCACGGTTCTTACTGTTGTCACAGTTGTCACTGTTATTACAGGTGTCACCGTTGTCATGGTTGTCAGTGTTGTCACAGTTGTCACTGTTGTCACAATTGTCACAGTTGTGACAGTTGTCACCGTTGTCACCATTGTCACCGTTGTCATGGTTGTCACTGTTGTCACCGTTGTCACTGTTGTCACGGTTGTCACAGTTGTCACAGTTGTCACTATTGTCACAGGTGTCACCATTGTCACTGTTGTCATGTTTGTCATTGTTGTCGCGGTTGTCACTGTTGTCACAGTTTTCACTGTTGTCACGGTTCTTCCTTTTGCCACAGTTTTCACGGTTGTCACTGTTGTCACAGGTGTCACTGTCGTCACTGTTGTCACTGTTCTCACGGTTGTCACAGTTGTCACCGTTGTCACTGTTGTCTAGGTTGTCCCTGTTGTCACAGTTGTCACTGTTGTCACTGTTATTATACTTGTCACTTTTGTCACTGTTCTGTGTTGTCACTGTTGTCACCGTTTTCACTGTTGTAAGTATTGTCACAGTTGTCACTGTTGTCGCACTTGTCACAGTTGTCACCGTTGTCACTGTTGTCACTCATGTCATGGTTGTCACTGTTTTCACCGTTGTCGCTGTTGTTACAGTTTTCACTGTTGTCACTGTTGCCATGTTTGTCACTGTTGTCACGGTTGTCACGTTTGTCACTATTGTCACTGTTGTCATGGTTCCTACTGTTGCCACAGTTGTCACGGTTGTCACTGTTGTCACAGGTGTCACTGTTGTCACTTTTGTCATGGTTGTCACTGTTGTCACAGATGTCACTGTTGTCACGGTTGTCATAGTTGTCACTGTTGTCACTGTTGTCGCTTTTCTCACTTTTGTCACAGTTCTCACTGTTGTCATGGTTGTCACTTTTGGCTCGGTCGTCACCGTTGTCACAGTTGTGACTGTTGTCACGGTTCTCACTGTTGTCACAGTTCTCACAGTTGACAGTGATGTCATGGTTGTCACCCTTGTTAATGTCGTCACTGTTTTAACTGTTATCGTTGTTGTCATTGTTGTCACGGTTGTCACTGTTGTCATGTTTGGCATTTTTGTCCCAGTTGTCACTGTTGTTACTGTTGTCACTGTTGTCACTGTTACTGATGTGACAGTTCTCACTTTTGTTACCATTATCAGTGTTGTCACCGTTTTCACTGTTGTCACTGTTATCATACTTGTCACTTTTGTTACGGTTGTCTGTGTTGTCATTGTTGCCACCGTTTTCACTGTTGTCATAGTTGTCACAGTTGTCGCACTTGTCACAGTTGTCACCGTTGTCACTGTTGTCACTGATGTCATGGTTGTCACTGTTGTCACGGTTCTTACTGTTGCCACAGTTGTCATGGTTGTCATTGTTGTCACAGGTGTTACCGTTGTCACTGTTGCCACAGTTGTCATGGTTGTCATTGTTGTCACAGTTGTCACCGTTGTCACCGTTGTCACTGTTGTCATGGTTTTCACTGTTGTCACGGCTCTTACTGTTGTCAGGGTTGTCACTGTTATCACAGGTGTCACCGTTGTCAGTGTTGTCATGGTTGTCGGTCTATTCACAGTTGTCATGATTGTCACAGTTGTCACCGTTGTCACCGTTGTCACTGTTGTCATGGTTTTCACAGTTGTCACGGTTGTCACCGTTGTCACTGTTGTCACGGTTGTCACAGTTGTTACTATTGTCACAGGTGTCACCGTTGTCATGGTTGTCACTGTTGTCGCAGTTGTCACTTTTTCACAGTTGTCACTGTTGTCACGATTCTTACTGGTGCCACAGTTGTCACGGTTGTCACTGTTGTCACAGGTGTCACTTTCGTCACTGTTGTCACTGTTGTCACGGTTGTCAAAGTTGTCACCGTTGTCACCGTTTTCACTGTTGTCTTGGTTGTCCCTGTTGTCACTGTTGTCACTGTTGTCACTGTTATCATACTTGTCACTTTTGTTACGGTTCTCTGTGTTGTCACTGTTGTTACCATTTTCACTGTTGGAACTTTTGTCACAGTGGTCACTGTTGTCGCACTTGTCACAGTTGTCACCGTTGTCACTGTTGTCACTGATGTTATGGTTGTCACTGTTGTCACCGTTGTCGCTTTTGTCACAGTTTTCACTGTTGTCACTGTTGCCATGTTTGTCACTGTTGTCACAGTTGTCACTGTTGTCACAGTTCCTACTGTCGCCACAGTTGTCACGGTTGTCACTGTTGTCACAGGTGTCACCGTTGTCACTGTTGTCATGGTTGTCATAGTTGTCACTGTTTTCACTGTTGTCACTCTTGTCGCTTTTCTCACTGTTGTCACAGTTCTCACTGTTGTCATGGTTGTCACTTTTGGCTCGGTCGTCACCGTTGTCACAGTTGTTACAGTTGTGACTGTTTTCATGGTTCTCACTGTTGTCACAGTTCTCACAGTTGACACTGATGTCATGGTTGTCACCTTTGTCAATGTCGTCACTGTTTTAACCGTTATTGTTGTTTTCATAGCTGTCACGGTTGTCACTGTTGTCATATTTGTCACTGTTGTCACAGTTGTCACTGTTGTTACTGTTGTCACTGTTGTCACTTTTGTTACTGATGTGACAGGTGTCACTTTCTTTACCATTATCAGTGTTGTGACCGTTGTCATTGTTGCCACCGTTTTCACTGTTTTATAGTTGTCACTGTTGTCGCACTTGCCACAGTTGTCACCGTTGTCACTGATGTCATGGTTGTCACTGTTGTCACTGTTGTCACGGTTCTTACTGTTGCCACAGTTGTCACGGTTGTCATTGTTGTCACAGGTGTCACCGTTGTGACTGTTGTCATGGTTGTCACTGTTGTCACAGTTGTCACTGTTGTCACGGTTGTTACAGTTGTCACTGCTGTCACTGTTGTCATTGTTGTCACTGTTGTCACGGTTGTCACTGTTGTCACAGTTGTCACTGTTGTCACAGTTCTTACTGTTGCCACAGTTGTCACGGTTGTCAAGGTTGTCACCGCTGTCACCGTTGTCACTGTTGTCATGGTTCTCACTGTTGTCACAGTTGTCACGGCTGTCACAGTTGTTACTGTATTCACAGGCGTCACCGTTGTCACTGTTGTCATGGTTGTCACTGTTATTACAGTTGTCACTGTTGTCACAGTTGTCACTCTTGTCACCGTTGTTACTGTTGTCATGGTTGTCACTGTTGTCACTGTTGTCACCGTTCTTACTGTTGCCACAGTTGTCACGGTTGTCACTGTTGTCACAGGTGTCACCGCTGTTACTGTTGTCATGGTTGTCACTGTTATCACAGTTGTCACTTTTGTCACCGTTGTCACCGTTGTCACCGTTGTCAATGTTGTCATGGTTCCCACTGTTGTCACGGTTGTCACAGTTGTCACTTTTGTGACAGGTGTCACCGTTGTCACTGCTGTCATGGTTGTCACTGTTGTCACAGTTGTCACTGTTGTCACGGTTTGTACTGTTGCTACAGTTGTCACGGTTGTCACTGTTGTCACAGGTGTCACCGTTGTCACTGTTGTCATGGTTGTCAGTGTTGTCACTGTAGTCACGATTGTCACCGTTGTCACAGTTGTCACCATTGTCACCGTTGTGACTGTTGTCATAGTTGTTACTATTGTCACGGTGGTCACTGTTGTCACAGTTGTCACTATTGTCACCGTTGTCACAGTTGTCACTGTTGTCACAGGTGTCACCGTTGTCACTGTTGTCATGGTTGTCACTGTTGTCACTGTTGTCACGGTTGTCACAGTTTTCACGGTTCTTACTGTTGCAACAGTTGTCACTGTTGTCACAGGTGTCACCGTTGTCATGTCACCGTTGCCACTGTTGTCATGGTTGTCACTGTTATCACAGTTATCACTGTTGTGGCAGGTGTCAGCATTGTCACTTTTGTCATGGTTGTCACTGTTTTCACGGTTGTCACTGTTGTCACGGTTCTTACTGTTGCCACAGTTCTTACAGTCGTCACTGTTGTCACTGGTGTCACCGTTGTCACTGTTCTCATGGTTGTCACAGTTCTCACTGTTGTCACGATTGTCACAGTTGTCACCGTTGTCACTGTTGTCATGGTTGTCACTGTTGTCACGGTTGTCACTGTTGTCACAGTTGTCACGGTTGTCACAGTTGTCACTGTTGTCACTATTGTCACTGTTGTTATTTTTGTCACTGTTATCACAGTTGTCACTGTTGTCACAGTTGTCACTGTTGCCACCGTTGTCACCGTTCTTACTGTTGTCATGGTTCTCACTGTTATCACAGTTGTCACTTTTGTCACAATTGTCACCGTTGTCAGTGTTGTCATGGTTGCCACTGTTGTCACGGTTGTCACCGGTGTCACCTTTGTCACTCTTGTCATGGTTCTATCTGTTGTCACGGTTGTCACAGTTGTTACTGTTGTCACAGGTGTCACCGTTGTCACTGTTGTCATGGTTGTTACTTTTATCACAGTTGTCACTGTTGTCACTGTTGTCACCGTTGTCATCGTTGTTGCTGTTATGGTTCTCACTGTTATCACAGTTGTCACTTTTCTCACAGTTGTCACCGTTGTCACCATTGTCAATGTTGTGATGGTTACCACTTTTGTCACACGTGTCACTGTTGTCACAGTTGTCACTGTTGTCACGATTTTCACAGTTGTTACTGTTGTGACAGGTGTCACCGTTGTCACTGCTGTCATGGTTGTCACTGTTGTCACTCTTGTCGCAGTTGTCACTGTTGTCACAGTTCTTACTGTTGCCACAGTTGTCCCGGTTGTCACTGTTTTCACAGGTGTCACTGTACTCACTGTTGTCATGGTTGTCAGTGTTGTCACAGTTGTCACTGTTGTCACGATTCTCACATTTTTCACTGTTGTCACTGTTGTCATAGTTGTTACTGTTGTCACAGTGGTCACTGTTGTCACAGTTCTCACGGTTGTCACAGTTGTCACCATTGTCAATGTTGTCATGGTTGCCACTGTTTTTACGGTTTTCACTGTTCTCACAGTTGTCACTGATGTGACAGGTGTCACCGTTGTCACTTTTGTCATGGTTGTTACTGTTGTCACGGTTGTCACCGTTGTCACAGTTGTCACTGTTGTTATGGTTCTTACTGTTGCCACAGTTGTTACGGTTGTCACTGTTGTCACAGGTGTCACCGTTGTCACTGTTGTCATGGTTGTCACTGTTATCACAGTTGTCATTTTTGTCACAGTTGTCACCATTGTCAATGTTGTCATGGTTGCCACTGTTGTCACGCTTGTCACTGTTTTCACAGTTCTCACTGTTTTCACGGTTGTCACTGTTGTGACAGGTGTCACCGTTGTTACTGTTTTCATGGTTGTCACTGTTGTCACGGTTGTGACCATTGTCACTGTTGTCACTGATGTCATGGTTGTCAGTATTGTCACCGTTGTCACTTTTGCCATGTTTGTCCCTGTTTTCACGGTTGTCACTGTTGTCACCGTTGTGACTTTTGCCACAGTTGTCACGGTTGTCACTGTTGTCACAGGTGTCACTGTTGTCATGGTTGTCACTGTTGTTACAGATGTCACTGTTGTCACAGTTTTCACCGTTGTCACTGTCGTTACTCTTGTTGCTTTTCTCACTGTTGTCACAATTTACACTGTTCTCATGGTTGTCACTTTTGGCTCGGTCGTCACCGTTGTCACAGTTGTGACTGTTGTCATGGTTCTCACTGTTGTTACAATTCTCACAGTTGACACTGATGTCATGGTTGTCACCCTTTTCAATGTCGTCACTGTTTTAACCGTTATAGTTGTTTTCATGGGTGTCACGGTTCTTACTGTTGTCATGTTTGTTGTTGTTGTCACAGTTGTCACTGTTGTCATGGATCTCACTATTATCACAGTTGTCACTTTTTTCACAGTTGTCACCGTTTTCACCGTGGTCAATGTTGTCATAGTTGCCACTGTTGTCACGGTTGTCACTGTTTTCATAGTTGTCACTGTTCTCACGGCTGTCAAAGTTGTCACTGTTGTGACAGATATCACCGTTGTCACTGTTGTCATAGTTGTCACTGTGTTCACAGTTGTCACTGTTGTCACAGTTGTCACTTTTGTTACGGTTCTTACTGTTGCCACAGTTGTCACGGTTGTCACTGTTGTCACAGGTGTCACTGTTGTCACTGTTGTCATGGTTGTCACTGTCATCACAGTTGTCACTTTTGTCACAGTTTTAACCGTTGTCAATGTTGTCATGGTTGCCACTGTTGTCACGGTTGTTACTGTTTTCACAGTTGTCACTGTTGTCACGGTTCTCACAGTTGTCACTGTTGTGACAGGTGTCACCGTTGTCACTGTTGTCATGGTTGAAGTTCTTGTCACGGTTGTCACTGTTGTCACAGTTGTCACTGTTGTCTCGGTTCTTACTGTTGTCACGGTTGTCACTGTTGTCACAGGTGTCACCGTTGTCACTGTTGTTTTGGTTTTCAGTGTTGTCACAGTTCTCACTGTTGTCACGATTGTCACTGTTGTCACGATTGTCACTTTTGTCACCGTTGTCACAGTTGTCACTGTTGTCACGGTTCTTACTGTTGCCACAGTTGTCATGGTTTTCACTGTTGTTACTGTTTTCACAGTTGTCACTGTTGTCACGATTCTCACATTTTTCACCGTTGTCACTGTTGTCATAGTTGTTACTGTTGTCACGGTGGTCACTGTTGTCACAGTTCTCACGGTTGTCACAGTTGTCACTATTATCAATGTTGTCATGGTTGCCACTGTTGTCACGGTTTTCACTGTTTTCACAGTTGTCACTGTTGTCACGGTTGTCACAGTTGTCACTGTTGTGACAGGTGTCACCGTTGTCACTTTTGTCATGGTTGTTACTGTTGTCACGGTTGTCACTGTTGTCACAGTTGTCACTGTTGTTATGGTTCTTACTGTTGCCACAGTTGTTACGGTTGTCACTGTTGTCACAGGTGTCACCGTTGTCACTGTTGTCATGGTTGTCACTGTTATCACAGTTGTCATTTTTGTCACAGTTGTCACCGTTGTCAATGTTGTCATGGTTGCCACTGCTGTCACGCTTGTCACTCTTTTCACAGTTCTCACTGTTTTCACGGTTGTCACTGTTGTGACAGGTGTCACCGTTGTTACTCTTTTCATGGTTGTCACTGTTGTCACGGTTGTGACCGTTGTCACTGTTGTCATTGATGTCATGGTTGTCAGTATTGTCACCGTTGTCTCTGTTGTCACAGTTTTCACTGTTGTCACTGTTGCCATGTTTGTCCCTGTTTTCACGGTTGTCACCGTTGTCACCGTTGTGACTTTTGCCACAGTTGTCACGGTTGTTACTGTTGTCACAGGTGTCACTGTTGTCACTGTTGTCATGGTTGTCACTGTTGTCACTGTTTTCACAGTTGTCACCGTTGTCACTGTTGTTCCTCTTGTTGCTTTTCTCACTGTTGTCACAGTTTACACTGTTCTCATGGTTGTCACTTTTGGCTCGGTCGTCACCGTTGTCACAGTTGTGACTGTTGTCACGGTTCTCACTGTTGTTACAATTCTCACAGTTGACACTGATGTCATGGTTGTCACCCTTGTCAATGTCGTCTCTGTTTTAACCGTTATAGTTGTTTTCATGGCTGTCACGGTTCTCACTGTTGTCATGTTTGTTGTTGTTGTCACAGTTGTCACTGTTGTCATGGATCTCACTATTATCACAGTTTTCTCTTTTTTCACAAATGTCACCGTTTTCACCGTGGTCAATGTTGTCATAGTTGCCACTGTTGTCACGGTTGTCACTGTTTTCATAGTTGTAACTGTTGTTACGGCTGTCAAAGTTGTTACTGTTGTGACAGGTGTCACCGTTGTCACTGTTGTGATCGTTGTCACTCTGTTCACAGTTGTCACTTTTGTTACGGTTCTTACTTTTGCCACAGTTGTCACGGTTGTCACTGTTGTCACAGGTGTCACCGTTGTCACTGTTGTCATGGTTGTCACTGTCATCACAGTAGTCACTTTTTTCACCGTTTTAACCGTTGTCAATGTTGTCATGGTTGCCACTGTTGTCACAGTTGTCACTGTTTTCACAGTTGTCACTGTTCTCACGGTTGTCACAGTTGTCACTGTTGTGACAGGTGTCACCGTTGTCACTGTTGTCATGGTTGTCACTCTTGTCACGGTTGTCACTGTTGTCACAGTTGTCACTGTTCTCACGGTTCTTACTGTTGTCACGGTTGTCACTATTGTCACAGGTGTCACCGTTGTCACTGTTGTTTTGGTTTTCAGTGTTGTCACAGTTGTCACTGTTGTCACGATTGTCACTGTTGTCACCGTTCTCACCGTTGTCACTGTTGTCATGGTTGTCACTGTTTTCACGGTTGTCACCGTTGTCACAGTTGTCACTGTTGTCACGCTTGTCACAGTTGTCACTATTGTCACAGGTGTCACCATTGTTACTGTTGTCATGGTTGTCACTGTTGTCGCAGTTGTCATTGTTGTCACAGTTGTCACTGTTGTCACGGTTCTTACTGTTGCCACAGTTGTCACAGTTGTCACTGTTGTCACAGGTGTCACGGTTGTCACTGTTGTTATGGTTGTCACTGTTGTCACTGTTGTCACCGTTGTCACCGTTGTCACTGTTGTCTTGGTTGTTCCTGTTGTCACAGGTATTACTGTTGTCACTGTTATCATACTTGTCACTTTTGTCACGGTTCTCTGTGTTGTCACTGTTGTCACCGTTTTTACTTTTGTAACTATTGTCACAGGTGTCACTGTTGTCGCACTTGTCACAGTTGTTACCGTTGTCACTGTTGTCACTGATGTCATGGTTGTCACGGTTTTCACAGTTCTCGCTGTTGTCACAGTTTTCATTGTTGTCTTTGTTGCCATGTTTGTCACTGTTGTCACGGTTGTCACTGTTCTCGCGGTTTTTACTGTTGTCACAGGTGTCACCGTTATCACTGTTGTTATAGTTTTCACTGTTGTCATGGTTGTCACTTTTGGCTCGGTCGTTACCGTTGTCACAGTTGTCACAGTTGTGATTGTTGTCACGGTTCTCACTGTTGTCACAGTTCTCACAGTTGACACTAATGTCATGGTTGTCACCCTTGTCAATGTCGTCACTGTTTTAACTGCTATCGTTGTTGTCATGGTTGTCACCATTGTCACTGTTGTCATGTTTGTCACTGTTGTCACAGTTCTCACTGTTGTTACGGTTGTCACTGTTGTCACTGTTCTTACTGATGTGACAGGTGTCACTTTTGTTACTATTATCAGTGTTGTCACCGTTGTCACAGTTATTGTTGTCTCTGTTATCATACTTGTCACTTTTGTCACGGTTCTTTGTGTTGTTACTCTTGCCACCGTTTTCACTGTTGTTACAGTTGTCACTGTTGTCGCACTTTTCACAGTTGTCACCGTTGTCACTGTTGTCACTGATGTCATGGTTGTCATTGTTGTTACTGTTGTCACGGTTCTTACTGTTGCCACAGTTGTCACGGTTGTCATTAGTGAACTTACGTAACAGGACGGGAGAGGAAAGAAGACGGCAAACCTTGTGTGACAACCGTGACAACAATTTTGTTTGAAATAACTTTTCGCCAAACATCACGTTCTTTTAAACAGATCTTTTTGTAAAAAAAAGAAAACATTAATGCTAACTGAAGATCACTACATAACATGCAAGTAATAACCCTTTCACGTTTGTCACACACAAACATTTTGCCGTCCTCTTCTTCCTGCCGTCCTGTTGCGTAAGCTCACTATTGTTGTCACAGGTCTCACCGTTGTCATTGCTGTCATGATTTTCACTGTTGTCACAGTTGTCATCGTTGTCATGGTTGTTACAGTTTTCACTGTTGTCACCGTTGTTACTGTTGTCATGGTTCTCACTGTTATCACAGTTGTCACTTTTGTCACAGTTGTCACCGTTGTCAATGTTGTCATGGTTGTCACTGTTGTCACGGTTGTCACTGTTATCACAGGAGTCACCGTTGTCACTGTTGTCATGGTTCTCACTGTTATCACAGTTGTTACTTTTGTCACTGTTCTGACAGGTGTCACCGTTGTCACTGTTGTCATGGTTGTCACTGTTGTCACGGTTGTCACTATAGTCACAGTTGTCACTGTTGTCACGGTTCTTACTGTTGTCACGGTTGTCACTGTTGTCACAGGTGTCACCGTTGTCAATGTTGTCATGGTTGCCACTGTTGTCACAGTTGTCACTGTTGTCACAGTTGTCACAGTTGTCACTGTTGTGACAGGTGTCACCGTTGTCATGGTTGTCACTGTTGTGACCGTTCTCACTGTTTTTACTGTTGCTACAGTTGTCACGGTTGTCACTGTTGTCACAGGTGTCACCGTTGTCACTGTTGTAATGGTTTTCAGTGTTGTCACAGTTGTCTCTTGTCACGATTGTCACAGTTGTCACTGTTGTCACCATTGTCACTGTTGTCATAGTTGTTACTGCTGTCACGGTGGTCACCGTTGTGACAGTTGTCACTGTTGTCACGGTTGTCACAGTTGTCACTGTTGTAACAGGTGTCACCGTTGTCACTGTTGTCATGGTTGTCACTGTTTTCACAGTTGTCACTGTTGTCACGGTTTTTACAGTTGTCACTGTTGTGACAGGTGTCACCGTTGTCACTTTTGTCATGGTTGTCACTCTTGTCACAGTTGTCACTGTTTTCACGGTTCTTACTGTTGCCAAAGTTATTACGGTTGTCACTATTGTCACAGGTGTCACCGTTGTCGTGGTTGTCACTGTTATCACAGCTGTCGCTTTTGTCACAGTTGTCACCGTGGTCAATGTTCTAATGGTTGCCGCTGTTGTCACGGTTGTCACTGTTTTCACAGTTGTCACTGTTTTCACGGTTATCACAGTTGTCACTGTCGTGACAGGTGTCGCCGTTGTCACTGTGTTCATGGTTGTCACTGTTGTCACAGTTTTCACTGTTGTCACGGTTCTTACTGTTGTCACAGTTGTCACTGTTATTACAGGTGTCACCGTTGTCATGGTTGTCAGTGTTGTCACAGTTGTCACTGTTGTCACAATTGTCACAGTTGTGACAGTTGTCACCGTTGTCACCATTGTCACCGTTGTCATGGTTGTCACTGTTGTCACCGTTGTCACTGTTGTCACGGTTGTCACAGTTGTCACAGTTGTCACTATTGTCACAGGTGTCACCATTGTCACTGTTGTCATGTTTGTCATTGTTGTCGCGGTTGTCACTGTTGTCACAGTTTTCACTGTTGTCACGGTTCTTCCTTTTGCCACAGTTTTCACGGTTGTCACTGTTGTCACAGGTGTCACTGTCGTCACTGTTGTCACTGTTCTCACGGTTGTCACAGTTGTCACCGTTGTCACTGTTGTCTAGGTTGTCCCTGTTGTCACAGTTGTCACTGTTGTCACTGTTATTATACTTGTCACTTTTGTCACTGTTCTGTGTTGTCACTGTTGTCACCGTTTTCACTGTTGTAAGTATTGTCACAGTTGTCACTGTTGTCGCACTTGTCACAGTTGTCACCGTTGTCACTGTTGTCACTCATGTCATGGTTGTCACTGTTTTCACCGTTGTCGCTGTTGTTACAGTTTTCACTGTTGTCACTGTTGCCATGTTTGTCACTGTTGTCACGGTTGTCACGTTTGTCACTATTGTCACTGTTGTCATGGTTCCTACTGTTGCCACAGTTGTCACGGTTGTCACTGTTGTCACAGGTGTCACTGTTGTCACTTTTGTCATGGTTGTCACTGTTGTCACAGATGTCACTGTTGTCACGGTTGTCATAGTTGTCACTGTTGTCACTGTTGTCGCTTTTCTCACTTTTGTCACAGTTCTCACTGTTGTCATGGTTGTCACTTTTGGCTCGGTCGTCACCGTTGTCACAGTTGTGACTGTTGTCACGGTTCTCACTGTTGTCACAGTTCTCACAGTTGACAGTGATGTCATGGTTGTCACCCTTGTTAATGTCGTCACTGTTTTAACTGTTATCGTTGTTGTCATTGTTGTCACGGTTGTCACTGTTGTCATGTTTGGCATTTTTGTCCCAGTTGTCACTGTTGTTACTGTTGTCACTGTTGTCACTGTTACTGATGTGACAGTTCTCACTTTTGTTACCATTATCAGTGTTGTCACCGTTTTCACTGTTGTCACTGTTATCATACTTGTCACTTTTGTTACGGTTGTCTGTGTTGTCATTGTTGCCACCGTTTTCACTGTTGTCATAGTTGTCACAGTTGTCGCACTTGTCACAGTTGTCACCGTTGTCACTGTTGTCACTGATGTCATGGTTGTCACTGTTGTCACGGTTCTTACTGTTGCCACAGTTGTCATGGTTGTCATTGTTGTCACAGGTGTTACCGTTGTCACTGTTGCCACAGTTGTCATGGTTGTCATTGTTGTCACAGTTGTCACCGTTGTCACCGTTGTCACTGTTGTCATGGTTTTCACTGTTGTCACGGCTCTTACTGTTGTCAGGGTTGTCACTGTTATCACAGGTGTCACCGTTGTCAGTGTTGTCATGGTTGTCGGTCTATTCACAGTTGTCATGATTGTCACAGTTGTCACCGTTGTCACCGTTGTCACTGTTGTCATGGTTTTCACAGTTGTCACGGTTGTCACCGTTGTCACTGTTGTCACGGTTGTCACAGTTGTTACTATTGTCACAGGTGTCACCGTTGTCATGGTTGTCACTGTTGTCGCAGTTGTCACTTTTTCACAGTTGTCACTGTTGTCACGATTCTTACTGGTGCCACAGTTGTCACGGTTGTCACTGTTGTCACAGGTGTCACTTTCGTCACTGTTGTCACTGTTGTCACGGTTGTCAAAGTTGTCACCGTTGTCACCGTTTTCACTGTTGTCTTGGTTGTCCCTGTTGTCACTGTTGTCACTGTTGTCACTGTTATCATACTTGTCACTTTTGTTACGGTTCTCTGTGTTGTCACTGTTGTTACCATTTTCACTGTTGGAACTTTTGTCACAGTGGTCACTGTTGTCGCACTTGTCACAGTTGTCACCGTTGTCACTGTTGTCACTGATGTTATGGTTGTCACTGTTGTCACCGTTGTCGCTTTTGTCACAGTTTTCACTGTTGTCACTGTTGCCATGTTTGTCACTGTTGTCACAGTTGTCACTGTTGTCACAGTTCCTACTGTCGCCACAGTTGTCACGGTTGTCACTGTTGTCACAGGTGTCACCGTTGTCACTGTTGTCATGGTTGTCATAGTTGTCACTGTTTTCACTGTTGTCACTCTTGTCGCTTTTCTCACTGTTGTCACAGTTCTCACTGTTGTCATGGTTGTCACTTTTGGCTCGGTCGTCACCGTTGTCACAGTTGTTACAGTTGTGACTGTTTTCATGGTTCTCACTGTTGTCACAGTTCTCACAGTTGACACTGATGTCATGGTTGTCACCTTTGTCAATGTCGTCACTGTTTTAACCGTTATTGTTGTTTTCATAGCTGTCACGGTTGTCACTGTTGTCATATTTGTCACTGTTGTCACAGTTGTCACTGTTGTTACTGTTGTCACTGTTGTCACTTTTGTTACTGATGTGACAGGTGTCACTTTCTTTACCATTATCAGTGTTGTGACCGTTGTCATTGTTGCCACCGTTTTCACTGTTTTATAGTTGTCACTGTTGTCGCACTTGCCACAGTTGTCACCGTTGTCACTGATGTCATGGTTGTCACTGTTGTCACTGTTGTCACGGTTCTTACTGTTGCCACAGTTGTCACGGTTGTCATTGTTGTCACAGGTGTCACCGTTGTGACTGTTGTCATGGTTGTCACTGTTGTCACAGTTGTCACTGTTGTCACGGTTGTTACAGTTGTCACTGCTGTCACTGTTGTCATTGTTGTCACTGTTGTCACGGTTGTCACTGTTGTCACAGTTGTCACTGTTGTCACAGTTCTTACTGTTGCCACAGTTGTCACGGTTGTCAAGGTTGTCACCGCTGTCACCGTTGTCACTGTTGTCATGGTTCTCACTGTTGTCACAGTTGTCACGGCTGTCACAGTTGTTACTGTATTCACAGGCGTCACCGTTGTCACTGTTGTCATGGTTGTCACTGTTATTACAGTTGTCACTGTTGTCACAGTTGTCACTCTTGTCACCGTTGTTACTGTTGTCATGGTTGTCACTGTTGTCACTGTTGTCACCGTTCTTACTGTTGCCACAGTTGTCACGGTTGTCACTGTTGTCACAGGTGTCACCGCTGTTACTGTTGTCATGGTTGTCACTGTTATCACAGTTGTCACTTTTGTCACCGTTGTCACCGTTGTCACCGTTGTCAATGTTGTCATGGTTCCCACTGTTGTCACGGTTGTCACAGTTGTCACTTTTGTGACAGGTGTCACCGTTGTCACTGCTGTCATGGTTGTCACTGTTGTCACAGTTGTCACTGTTGTCACGGTTTGTACTGTTGCTACAGTTGTCACGGTTGTCACTGTTGTCACAGGTGTCACCGTTGTCACTGTTGTCATGGTTGTCAGTGTTGTCACTGTAGTCACGATTGTCACCGTTGTCACAGTTGTCACCATTGTCACCGTTGTGACTGTTGTCATAGTTGTTACTATTGTCACGGTGGTCACTGTTGTCACAGTTGTCACTATTGTCACCGTTGTCACAGTTGTCACTGTTGTCACAGGTGTCACCGTTGTCACTGTTGTCATGGTTGTCACTGTTGTCACTGTTGTCACGGTTGTCACAGTTTTCACGGTTCTTACTGTTGCAACAGTTGTCACTGTTGTCACAGGTGTCACCGTTGTCACTGTTGTCATGGTTGTCACTGTTGTCACGGTTGTCACAGTTTTCACGGTTCTTACTGTTGCAACAGTTGTCACGGTTCTCACTGTTGTCACAGGTTATTGGTTTTGTCGCTGTTGTCACATTGTGACCGTTGTCGCTGTTGTCACTGTTTTCTTTGTTGTCACTGTTGTCAACAACAGGATCAACGGTGACAACAGCAACAACAACGACAACTGTGACAACCTAGACAACAGTGACAACAGCGACAACCGTGACAACAGCGACAACAGCGATTACAGTGACAACAGTGACAACGGTGAAAACAACATCAGTGAGAACCGCTACTACAGTGACAACAGTGGCAAGTGACATCACCGACAACAGTGATAATAACGGCAGTTTTTGCTTATGCAACGCACATTGGCGAGAAAATCAACTGTGACGAGCAGCTTGTTAAAATGAAAAAGTTTCTAAATCTTTGCTCAGGTTAAAGTTTATCAATCCTTGGGCGAATTGCTATTGTCAAAACATTAGCACTGTCTAAACTTGTTTATTATTGCTCTGTACTTTATACTCCGACCGAGTTTGCTGAAGAAGTTAAGAAGGACATTTTGCCTTTCAGATGGAACTTTAAACCTGATAAAATCAAAAAACCACACTGACTTTCCCGATCTCCAAAGGTGGCCTTAAGATGGTTAATTTCGCGGACGTAGAAAAATCTCTTAAAGCTGCCTGGGTAAATCGCTATTGTTCATCGGATGGTCATCATTGGTGTGCGCTTCTTGACTCTCATCTTGAAAAGTTCGGAGGCTCGTTTTTGTTCCAGTGTCATTACGATTTCTAATTTTTAGATGTAGAAGGTCTCCCCCTCTTTTATAGGAGCATTGTTACTGTCTGGCAGATCCTTCATTCCAAGGTATCCCGTGGTACCTTACTTGATTACGGTGGTCTTCTGGTCGCGATTCCTAAAGATTGGAAAAATGCTATCCTACATGGCAATCAGGAACACACCAATGCTCGACTAATTCAAAGTAGACAGACTGCAAATTATATTAGTTGCTAAAAATTATCTATATCTACGTGTCGCAACTGTTCATCAGTAGGATTCCTAAAATGCGTGCAATTCCACAATTGGTTTCGGCTCCATTAAATCCTGTATACCAATTGCAGAACATGTTAGGAGGAGCCACCCACCATGTGAGCACAGTCACGGACAACACATATAAGTGAGGAAAATGACGCAAAGTAAAATTAAGACGTTAATAAACGAACTAAATGTACACGGAAATTAAATAAATAAACAAATAATGCGCGCGGTCAAAATAAAATTGTACGCGCACACGCACCGAGATACAACTGAAATACAGCACTAAGCAATAAATAAGTAATGTAAGGATACGATGGTGCAATTCAAGCCTGGCTTGCTAATCTTATCTCCCGCAGGGCTGCACCATACCTCTCGACGATGAGACCATGGCGACTGAAGAATTTATTAAATGATTTCTGAAGTAGATTGGTTTCAAAGCCTTGCTGTCTGAGACTATTTATGAAGTCAACTTTGGACGTGCAAATTCTAGCATATCTCACCAGTTGAGATATATAAACACCGTAAGCTGCGTGTTTGCTGAGAAATCTTTCTGCCCTTCATTAACTGAATCCTATTTAAGAGAACAAACATACACTCCTAGTGCCGTATATGAGCTTCCATTCAAAATCACCATTGAAAATAAGCCAAGAAGTTTTCAGTTGAAACTCATCCACAATATTCTTCCAACCAACCAACGCCTTTGGAAAATGAATGTTAAATCTTCTCCAAAATACGAACAATGTGACGCTCCTTGTGAAACTATTAGCCATATATTTTACGACTGTCCTGCCGTCAAAGTTTTTTAGGAAAAAGTCATAGATTGGTGGAATCGTAAACGTTCTGAAAACATAAATCCCAATCTAAGGGAAGTTCTATATGGATACAAACCTGAATCAAACAGCTTTCATGCTTTTAACCATTCTCTCTTAATTGCTAGATATTACGTTTACTCAGGTAGAATCATTGTTCTCCCGGAAATTAAAATCCAGTGCGAAGGAGAAATTACAATAACAAATGGAAATCTTGACAAATACAGAAATTAGTGGAGCACCCTGTGCAGTTCTAATTGGTGTTAATTTATAGTAATTTAGCAAACGCGCATGATTATTATTTTTCTATTTGTTCTGCTAGTTGTTGTTAATCTGTCGAACTTTCGTGTTTCGCTTTTTTTTGCTTGTTTGTTTGTTTGTTTTTTTTACTGCTTTACCTCCTTTTTTTGCCGCCCTGTTATTGTAAAGTTTATTGTAATGTTATGTTAAATGATGTTTAATAAATAGATTATTAAAAAAAAAAGAGCGGCAACAGTGACAACAGCGACAATCAATACCTGGGAAATTTAATATATATTGTCTCGGTTTGCCGTATGAAAATGTCTTTGGTGTTATTACAGATAACTTATTTCATGTACTAAGCCCTTGAAAAGTGTAAAAAAGAATTGATGGTTTAGAATATTCTAGTACAAGGTTGTTGTCCACTGTAATTCAAAATTACTCAGTTTCTTGGTGGATTTTGTCTTAAACGTCGACATGCAGGTAACGATAGAATAACTGCTTCACGTGTAGTGTGTCGAATCTTTGCAAAATTCTCTCTTTCACCGCAGACAAACCTAGATCTTTTAACGTGCAGTGACTATATGCTTTATATTATTATTTCCAGGTACTCTTCGTCATCGTGGGATACCCCTGTCAGAGAGCAATGCCCCCTTCACACCGTAGGGTACCCCTTCGATGAACACCGACGTCGACCCCTCTCGACTGTTAACCCAACTTCAACACCACTTCCCTGAGGGATACAATGACCCTAAAGTGTACTCAACTCTTCCGGCGGTCGCTAGCCAACAACAACAGCATGAAATGCAAGCGAAGGCAACGCCTACGTAGCTTACGCCTGCATAGTGGGGTGTGGCTCTTGCCTAGCACATACAGCGGCAAAGAAAACGGCGCAATCAACGCCAACAAACGCCGACGCAGCAGACGCCTTCAAACCAAACTCCGAGTCAACAGGGATACCAACAATATCCACAGTACCGGCACTATCAGCAACATCCGGATCAATCCCAAACTCCGATTCCTACCTATGGGTACCAGCAAACGCGTTCAGGGCGCGAGTCAACTACAAAAGAAAGCAGCAACAGCTGGTAATCGCAGAAATATACGGTTTTCTGATTTTTGTCGATTGAACATTACCTTTTCTGCCGTAATACGTTTTCGTCATGCTGTTGGCGAATCAATTTAACATTTTCACGGATAACGGCTGGGGAAAACAACTACATAAAGTTTTATTTATATCAGTATTACTGCTAGCTGGACTCAACCGACATACATCAAACGAACCAGAAATATGCAAAATTGGTGATATGACCTAAGGACGTGGGTAATTAGTCAGTTGTCTTATTCCTTTCACTTGTGTTGCTCGGCTCCAAATCTGCGTTCTATAAAATTACCAATATAAAAAAAATTATAAAAAGAAAAGAAGACAACTAGGTAAAAAGTCCAGCAAATGGATTTTACACTGTTATACTCGAAAAGAATGCGTTCTTGGGTGAAAGATTGTTTTCTTTAGTATGTTTTTTGTCTGACTTCGACTCGGGTCAACGTCGAAGTGGACATGAACATAATGCTACTACGCAAAATGTATTGTTTTCGTGCATTAGTGTTCGGTTCCACACATGTTAAGTTGGACGTTTGACCTGGAGCTTACAGTAAAAACCCGCATATAAAAAGAACCCCTGATTTTCAACCGATAATCGGTTTTAATGGTTATTCGCTAGAATAGAGTGCCCTGTGGTTCTTATCTTTGTGCTGCGTATTTTGGCCAAATTGCAGTCCAAATGTTCTTAATCTGCTGTTTCTTAGGCGTTTTTGTTGTTTTTACTGTTTCCAGTCTTAGCTGAGGTCACTTAAAGTAGTTTTACTGTGAGAAAAGTGTTGTGATTGTCTAAGTGTTTTTGATTTGGGTCTAAACACTGCGGCAAAACAAGCTTTGTAGGATAAATTTACACTACGATACTATAGATTTTGTTTTCATCGGTACTTTAAGAGAAACCAAAAGTTTTTACTTATGTCTAAAGTTGCCTGCGTGCCTGACGGTTTGTTGGGTGGGGAGGAGGTGGCGGGGGGAGAGTGAAGGAGCGTCAAAACCGCGAGGAGAATGGGGCGTGAATTTTATTTCACCCCTCAATTACACACGCTTCGCGTGGCTTTATTGCTCATTTTCGCGCTCACCTGACAAAGCGCCCGCAAGGCAGGCTATGCCTCTCGTGAAATCAGGCCATACAGTTTGCGATCTCTGTAAGTGTAAGACGTTTGTTCTGTACTCGTGAACGTTAACACTGTCCCTCGTGCACTATTTTTGTAACATAATAGCTATCATATTGGTAAACGATTTTGTAACTAATATGAAATTTCTGTGATAAAATAAAATGAAAAAGATGTGTAATATCAAAAAATCGTTTACTGGCTTAGTCTTTTTAGCTGGCAGTAGCAATTTCGAGAAGGGGCGGTGGGAAGTGAAGATTATTGTCCTGGCTCGTTATTGTTGCCACTTTATTGATAGAGCGATTTTAGCATGACCTTGAAAAATGGTTTCGGTAAGTGTTCGGTATTTGTTTTATCAGGCAATGGATGAAAAGATCAAAACATGGGCTCTTCGTTTTCCCGCCAAAGAAAACCCTAATATGGAGAAGGCATTGTTCGATTGGCCAATGTTGTTGCAGTATGACGTCAGGGCGAAGTATCGACTGATTTCTAGAAAGTTCTCGGGCATGAAGTTTTTTCAGCCGAGCGTTCGCTTAACCAACCAAAAGCTACGCGCGTTTGTATCCGTTCGACAAACCAATCAAATCGTTCTATTTCCGTTCGCTTGTTTCTGTTTTGTTTGCGCATTTTCATTTCAAGGCCATACGAAAATCGCTCTAATTCTGCATGTAAACTGTAAAATGAAACTG